CGGAGCAGGGCCTGGTTGGGTGCCTCTCCACTTGGGGTCAGGGGTTCAACCAACTGTGGGAGCAACAACAAAGCAAAGTGTCTTATCTACCTTCAGTATGTCATTCATCCCTGTAAAATGTTGTTAACATGTTGGCCCCTGTGGTTGAATGTCATGTCTGTGATTGAGTTTGTATGGCTGTGTTTACACCAGTGGCGTCAGTTCAGCTAAACCTAGGGTATGGGGAAGTTGAAGCTCATTTACTGCATTTCTACACAATTTAAAAACTAAAATGCTATTTTGAGAGCAGCAAAAACAAACAAAAATAATTCAAGCCATTAATGATTACCTCAATTTTAGGTTTAAAGATCTGTGGAACGGCATATACAATGTCAACCACTACTCAACCTTATCATAAATTTACTTGTGGTACGGCACATGCAGTGCAACGTGAAATAAATGCATAATACACACTATTGAGTCACAACAAGGCCACATTCAAATGCCGACATCCATATAGCCCCCGCGATATGCAACTTTTCAGGGAAGTTAGGAACCAATACACACAAGCAGTTAGGAAAGCAAAGGCTAACTTTTCCAAACAGAAATTTGCATCCTGTAGCACTAACTCCAAAAAGTTTTGGGACACTGTAAAGTCCATGGAAAATAAGAGCACTTCCTCCCAGCTGCCCACTGCACTGAGGCTAGGAAACACTATCACCACCGATAAATCTACAATAATCGAGAATTTCAACAAGCATTTTGCTACGGCTGGCCATGCTTTCCACCTGGCTACCACTACCCCGGCCACCAGCTCTGCACCCTCCACTGCAACTTGCCCATGCCCCCCCCCGCTTCTCCTTCACACAAATCCAGACAGCTGATGTTCTAAAAGAGCTGCAAAATCTGGACCCCTACAAATCATCTGGGCTAGACTATCTGGACCCTTTCTTTCTAAAACTAGCCGCCGAAATTGTCGCAACCCCTATTACTAGCCTGTTCAACCTCTCTTTCGTAACGTCTGAGATCCCCAGAGACTGGAAAGCTGCCGCGGTCATCCCCCTCTTCAAAGGGGGTGACACTCTAGACCCAAACTGTTACAGACCCATATCCATCCTGCCCTGCCTTTCAAAAGTTTTTGAAAGCCAAGTCAACAAACAGATCACCGACCATTTCGAATCCCACCGTACCTTCTCCGCTATGCAATCCGGTTTCCGAGCTGGTCATGGGTGCACTTCAGCCACGCTCAAGGTCCTAAACGATATTATAACCGCGATCGATAATAGACAGTACTGTGCAGCCGTTTTCATTGACCTGGCCAAGGCTTTCGACTCTGTCAACCACCGCATTCTTATTGGCAGACTAAATAGCCTTGGTTTCTCAAATGACTGCCTCGCCTGGTTCACCAACTACTTCTCAGATAGAGTTCAATGTGTCAAATCGGAGGGCCTGTTGTCTGGACCTATGGCAGTCTCTATGGGGGTGCCACAGGGTTCAATTCTTGGGCCAACTCTTTTCTCTGTGTATATCAATGACGTCGCTCTTGCTGCTGGTGACTCTCAGATCCACCTCTACGCAGACGACACCATTTTGTATACATCTGGCCCTTCATTGGACACTGTGTTAACAAACCTCCAAACGAGCTTCAATTCCATACAACACTCCTTCAGTAGCCTCCAACTGCTCTTAAACACTAGTAAAACTAAATGCATGCTCTTCAACCGAACGCTGCTTGCACCCGCCCACCCGACTAGAATCACTACTCTAGACGGGTCTGACCTAGAGTATGTGGACAACTACAAATATCTAGGTGTCTGGTTAGACTGTAAACTCTCCTTCCAGACTCACATTAAGAATCTCCAATCCAAAGTTAAATCTAGAATCGGTTTCCTATTTCGCAACAAAGCCTCCTTCACTCATGCTGCCAAACATGCCCTCGTAAAACTGACTATCCTACCGATCCTTGACTTCGGCGATGTCATTTACAAAATAGCCTCCAACACTCTACTCAGCAAATTGGATGTTGTCTATCACAGTGCCATCCGTTTTGTCTCCAAAGCCCCATATAATACCCACCACTGTGACCTGTACGCTCTTGTTGGCTGGTCCTCACTACATATTCGTCGCCAAACCCACTGGCTCCAGGCCATCTATAAATCACTGCTAGGCAAATCCCCGCCTTATCTTAGCTCATTGGTCACCATAGCAACACCCACCCGTAGTCTGCGCTCCAGCGGGTATATCTCACTGGTCATCCCCAAAGCCAACACCTCCTTTGGCCGCAATTCCTTCCAGTTCTCTGCTGCCAATGACTGGAACAAATTGCAAAAATCTCTGAAGCTGGAGACACTTATCTCCCTCACTAACTTTAAGCATCAGTTGTCAGAGCACCTTACCGATCACTGCACCTGTACACAGCCCATCTGAAATTAGCCCGCCCAACTACCTCATCCCTATATTGTTATTTATTTTTCTCATTTGTACCCCAGTATCTCTATTTGCACATCATCTCTTGCACATCATTCCAGTGTTAATACTAAATTGTAATTATTTTGCACTATAGCCTATTTTATTGCCTTACCTCCATAACTTGCTAAATTTGCACACTGTATATTATATGTATTTCTGTTGTATTTTTGACTTTGTTTTGTTTTACCCCATATGTAACTCTGTGTTGTTGTTTTTTATCGCACTGCTTTGCTTTATCTTGGCCAGGTCGCAGTTGTAAATGAGAACTTGTTCTCAACTGGTTTACCTGGTTAAATAAAGGTGAAATAAATAAAATAAAAAATAAATAAATATGCAGCACGCGAGTTTCAAGTTTGGGGAAGCTATTTAGTCACCATAAAATTGCACCTTTATAATAAAGGATTGCATGCATCTATCATCGCATTTGTAGACTAATGTAAGATAGGCTACTATTCCTAATGTGATGAGTAGATTGCATAGTCATAATTTAGGCTAATAATATAACTCAATCACTGTTAGCAAAACAGACAGTTCCGAACAATGCATGCCTGAGCGCGCGTAGTGACAGAGTAGGCCTAATCAGAGATGTTTCTTCTCCTTTCTTTGCACGGGAAGAATTTGACCTTTCATAAACACATTTCATGCAATTCTACACTTTATATGACTGGAGACATAAGCAACATATTTTTTAATAGCTGCCTCTGCTGACACTGACAAACAGATCAGTAAAAACGACCTTGTCTTGAATGCAACCATCTAATCTAGGCCTACAAAAAAGGGAGACACAAATTGTACAATATGACATCCATCTAGCCTGGTGGAGGAAATGATTGTCCCCCCCAAAAAAATTCCAGTGGTACTGATCCAATGACAAAGACAGTGAATATGGGTGCACTCACTGGGGATATGGTCGATGCTCTCTGCTGGTGACAATAAGATAGGCTGCTGTTTGCTCAATTGCGAGTTGAGAATTTTGATAACTAGAGACAGATCAGTCTTTTCCTTTGTCTTTTCAGCAATAGCCATTTGTTTTCTAAACTATGTTTTTCCTATGATTTTATTTTGAAATATTGCGATAGGCCTATTTAATTGCTTTTCACTAACCTCTGCAACTCAACAATCAGCTATTTGGTAGGCTATGTTCCGCGTGCGCTGAACAAACTGCGCACTTTTAAAACAATCCACAGCTAAATCATAATCTCTGGTGTAGTATTTTGAATGATTTTATTTACTTCTGTATAGGCACGAGTAATTATATAGCTAATTTTGGCAAATTCAATTTACTTTAGGGGAAGCTTATCTTCCCCTAGCCTATTGAACGCACTGCCTATGCCGACATCAATGTGAAAGTGACTGGTGCATAAAACAGCTGGCTGCGAGGCTTACAAGGCCGAGCTCAAATGCCGACATCAAATTCAAAGCAATCGGCGAACTGCCTAAACGGCAAAGCTCTCTGAGCAATGCTCCGCATGGTCCTAAAGCCAGCTAGCCAATACGCTGTTGCATTTTAATCAGGATTGGAATTATTTTAGTATTTTTTGTAGCCTACTTTTACATTTTTGGTCTTGAGCTAGGGTATGGCGACACAGGCAGCCCAATTAAAAATGTTAAATTTTTGTCATTTAGCAGACGCTCTTATCCAGAGCGACTTACAGTTAGTGAGTGCATACATTTTCTTTTTCATACTGGCCCCCCGTGGGAATCGAACCCACAACCCTACCGTTGCAAGCGCCATGCTCTACCAACTGAGCTACAGGAGGCCATTCTGATCTTTTTGTCACTAATTGGTCTTTTGACCAATCAAATACAGCTCTGAAAAAGATCTGATGTGATTGGTCAAAAAACAAATGAGTGGAAAGAGATCAGAATTGGGCTGCATGTGTGACTGTGAACGCAGCCTATATGTGCATGTCTAATGCATGTCCAAGTATACAGTTTGCGTCCTTCCTGTGGCTGTGGTCTCTTGTCTGTTACCTCTCTCTCCTGCAGCAGACGGCGCAGTGTCCTCTTCCTGACGATGTGGCGTCTGCGGAGCATCACAAAAACACCCAGGGCCAGGACCACAAACACCAGGAGGCCTCCCACCACGCTGGCCGCCACCACCGACGCAACGTGACCACTGGGAGAGCAGCACAGGGGGTGAGTTTCCTGATAGCTTCTTAATACCACTAAGATCATCTAAGATCAAGCACTTTATAACAACTGCTAATGTAAAAAGGGCTTTATAAATACATTTGATTGATTGGTTGACTGATCTTTCATCTATTGCCTATACCGGACTAATAAATGGTTATATACTGTAAGCTATATAATTATTTGGGGGAAACTCACCCAAGATGACTTTTCTCTTCATTTACTTGATCAATGCTACTTTCACCATGATACAGTTTCATGTTAGCATGATCCCAGATCTATTTGTGCTGTCTTGCTAACTACTATAGTCAAAAAATTGTCATGTTAAACAGCACAAACAGATCTGGAACCAGGCTGGTTTCATGTTGCTTTATTTGAAAGATCAGATCACCATAGTTCTCTATATGATCCTCGCTCACCCTCTGGTGCTGCAGCCACTCAGTCCAGGTCCAGAGCATCTGCAGACAGGAAGGAGGGAATACTATGTTCAGGAGACTACTTCACACGGTCCTGACCATGGTAAATGATCATCATGGTCTATCAATAGGCATTCAATCAAAATAAGCTGACATTGGCTTTATAACAAACAGAGTTAGAAATAGATGGGTAGCCTATGCCTTACCCCTGGGTGCAGTTCTCATGACAGAGCTGACATTCTCTCTTCTTGTCAGCGTATTTCCAGATGTGCCTATCCCCGTCCCCGAGAACGCCGTGTGGGCACCGATAGACACAGTGGGGGCCATCTTTGACGTGGGCGCACGCCAAACACTTGTCAGGGCCCTTTAGAGTGCGAGAGAGGGGAGGGTCAGAGGTTCATAGAATTGCTGATCATCACTGAAAAAATCACTTGTCTTGAGTAAAACCACTGACTTCGCTATATTTCCCAAGTCACACAGAATTCATCTAATTCTCTGAATTTGTTATGTAACTCAATATCACGCGAGAATGTCAAAAATAATTTGTTATGAAAAAATTGAGATGGATTTGAAGTGAAAGTAGCGTACTGGTCCAAAGCAGCTTCGGGTTCCATTCTTCACCATACATTCTTGGTCACATTCTAGACACCTGTTATTCAGTACATACTCTCGTGGCACCCTAAAAAGGCAAGGAAAACTGTTAAAACATGAACACAGCACAAGCCTACAGTAGATATATTTGACATATGAGAAGTATCAATAGTTTGTGCCATTGGGTTAGCTCACCCCTCCAGTAGGTGACAGACCCCTACACAGTGGCCCCTACGGGTGTAATACAGGCAGGTAAAACACATGGTGGTGCCGGGCCCCCAGCAGCCCTCGTCAGTGCACATCTCATCACAGGTACTGTTTAGCTTGGCTGTAGGGAAGAGAGAGGAAAACTATAGGCCCCATCCAGAAACAACCCCCCCTAGACCCTACCCCCAAGGCTAGGGTAGATGTGAAAGGATAGGATAGCACAGGAAGTTGGTGGCACCTTAATTGGGGAGGACGGGCTCGTGGTAATGGCTGGAGCGGAATAAGTGGAAAGGTATCAAATTCCATTCGCTCCGTTCCAGCCATTATTATGAGCTGTCCTCCCCTCAGAAGCCTCCTTTGTAGGATAGGTGTAAGCAATAGCGCTAAAAATCGATCTAACCTATCAGAGGGTGGAGGTGGAGTCACTGCCTCATTGCTTGTATCCAATCATGGCAATGTTAAGTAACTAAGCTAACTACAAGTACCAGTGGCCAATGGGAATAGGGCTGTTTTGACTATCACAGACACTAACTGGGATGAATGTTAGCATTTGGCCATTGTAACCATTTTTCTAGAAAAGCAGTTTGTATAAAGGCGTTGATCAGAGTTCATACTTGATCATTGTCCTTGCTTACCACAGGTGCTGATGTCGGCGTTGTTGCCGACCCTTGAGGACTGTTTGTCCAATCTGAACAGGCCCTTCCAGTGGTCTCCGTTGGTGTAGCAGAGCTGGGAGTTGTCCTTCACCACAACGTTGCCATCGCTGATCTCTCGCAGAGACTGGAGGCCTAGATACTTCAGATGGGCCATGTTGAGGGCAGCGAAACTCACCTGACCACTACGGGAAGAGAAAAGGTCATGTTAGTTTACTAGGTTAGCTTAGTGCTACTCTAGCTAGCCCAAACATATAATTGAACAATGTGAAGTTGCTGAAATATCATACAGCAGGGAACCTCTCAAGCCAGCTCACGCTTTATCTTCTAGGCTTTTGAGTTTTTGCTATCAATCATGAACCGAACCCCATAGAAACAATTATTTCAAAAACCAAGTTTCATAGTTGTGACAATAGCAGAGGTGTCATGCAGCATCTTCTGAAGCAGACATATTGAACATCACCTCAGTGTAGGATTGATTAATGACCACACTATTTACCAAGATTTTTCGTAGCTGTCTATTTACCACCGCAAACCGATGCTGGCACTAAGATTGCACTCAATGAGCTGTATAAGGTCATAAGTAAACAAGAAAACGCTCATCCAGAGGCAGCGCTCCTAGTGGCCGGGGCCTTTATTGCAGGGAAACTTAAATCTGTTCGACCTAATTTCTACCAGCATGTTAAATGTGCAACCAGAGGGAAAAAACTCTAGACCACCTTTACTCCACACACAGAGACGCGTACAAAGCTCTCCCTCGCCCTCCATTTGGCAAATCTGACCATAACTCTATATTTACTGATTCCTGCTTATAAGCAAAAACTAAAGCAGGAAGCACCAGTGACTCGGTTAATAAGGAAGTGGTCAGATGACGCAGATGCTAAGCTACAGGACTGTTTTGCTAGTTCAGACTGGAATATGTTCCGGGATTCTTCCGATAGCATTGAGGAGTACACCACATCAGACACTGGCTTCATCAATAAGTGCATCGATGACGTCGTCCCCACAGTGACCGTACGTACATACCCCAACCAGAAGCAATGGATTACAGGCAACATCCGCACTGAGCTAAAGGGTAGAGCTGCCGCTTTCAAGGAGCGGGACTCTAACCCGGACGCTTATAAGAAATCCCGCTATGCCCTCCGACGAACCATCAAACAGGCAAAGAGTCAATACAGGACTAAGATTGAATCGTACTACACCGGCTCCGACGCTCGTCGGCTGTGGCAGGGCTTGAAAACTATTACAGACTACAAAGGGAAGCACAGCCACGAGCTGCCCAGTGACACAAGCCTACCAGACGAGCTAAATCACTTCTATGCTCGCTTTGAGGCAAGCAACACTGAAGCATGCATGAGAGCATCAGCTGTTCCGGATGACTATGTGATCACGCTCTCCGTAGCCGATGTGAGTAAGACTTTTAAGCAAGTGTCTTCACTGACATTTTCAACATGTCCCTGACTGAGTCTGTAATACCAACCACCATAGTCCTTGTGCCCAAGAACACTAAGATAACCTGCCTAAATGACTACCGACCCATAGCACTCACGTCTGTAGCCATGAAGTGCTTTGAAAGGCTGGTCATTCAATTTGCATACCGCCCCAACAGATCCACAGATGATGCATTCTCTATTGCACTCCACACTGCCCTTTGCCACCTGGACAAGAGGAACACCTACGTGAGAATGCTATTCATTGACTACAGCTCAGCGTTCAACACCATAGTGCCCTCAAAGCTCATCACTAAGCTAAGGACCCTGGGACTAAACACCTCCCTCTGCAACTGGATCCTGGACTTCCTGACGGGCCGCCCCCAGGTGGTAAGGGTAGGTAACAACACATCTGCCACGCTGATCTTCAACACGGGGGCCCCTCAGGGGTGCGTACTCAGTCCCCTCCTGTAGTCCCTGTTCACCCATGACTGCATGGCCAAGCACGACTCCAACACCATCATTAAGTTTGCAGATGACACAACAGTGGTAGGCCTGATCACCGACAACGATGAGACAGGAAAGCAAAGGCTAGCTTTTTCAAACAGAAATGTGCATCCTGTAGCACTAACTCCAAAAAGTTTTGGGACACTGTAAAGTCCATGGAGAATAAGAGCACCTCCTCCCAGCTGCCCACTGCACTGAGGCTAGGAAACACTATCACCACCGATAAATCTACAATAATCGAGAATTTCAACAAGCATTTTGCTACGGCTGGCCATGCTTTCCACCTGGCTACCACTACCCCGGTCACCAGCTCTGCACCCTCCGCTGCAACCTATATCCATCCTGCCCTGCCTTTCGAAAGTTTTTGAAAGCCAAGTTAACAAACAGATCACCGACCATTTCGAATCACACCGTACCTTCTCCGCTATGCAATCCGGTTTCCGAGCTGGTCTTGGGTGCACCTCAGCCACGCTCAAAGTCCTAAACGATATTATAACCACGATCGATAATAGACAGTACTGTGCAGCCGTCTTCATCGACTTGGCAAAGGCTTTTGACTCTGTCAATCACCGCATTCTTATTGGCAGACTAAAGAGCCTTGGTTTCTCAAATGACTGCCTCGCCTGGTTCCCAACTAATTCTCAGATAGAGTTCAATGTGTCAAATCGGAGGGCCTGTTGTCTGGACCTATGGCAGTCTCTATGGGGGTGCCACAGGGTTCAATTCTTGGGCCGACTCTTTTCTCTGTGTATATCAATGATGTCGCTCTTGCTGCTGGTGATTCTCAGATCCACCTCTACGCAGACGACACCATTTTGTATACATCTGGCCCTTCATTGGACACTGTGTTAACAAACCTCCAAACGAGCTTCAATGCCATACAACACTCCTTCTTTTCTTAAAACTGCATTGTTGGTTAACGGCTTTTAAGTAAGCATTTCATTGTAAGGTCTACACCTGTTGTATTCGGCGCATGTGGCAAATAAAATTTGATTTGATTTGACAGAGATACACTTACAAATGTTTGGTCCTTCCTCTGATAATCTCTAGGTTTTCAAATGGACTGAGAGAGTCGAGGTGCTCGGGCCAAGCTTGTATCAGCAAAAACCCTTTAGGAAAATAACAAAAATAAATGTAATCAAGCATTGTCTTTGCTTTTGTTACTCTTGGATGAATTACAAAACAATTGAACATAAGTTAAACATCTGTTCTACCTGAAATTTCCTTCACAGTCTTGAAATATTCCAGTTTAGCAGGGTCCATTTTTGGTGTTGATGTGTACCTATCACTGAGAGAAGCAATTACAAAGACACATATTATACACACACATATATACGTATATACATACAGTGCCTTCGGGAAGTATTCAGACCCCTTGACTTTTTCCACATTTTGTTAGGTTACAGCCTTATTCTAAAATTGATTGAAAAACTGAAATATGACATTTACATAAGTATTCAGACCCTTTACTCAGTACTTTGTTGAAGCACCTTTGGCGCCGATTACAGCCTTGAGTCTTTTTGGGTATGACGCTACAAGCTTGGAACACCTGTATTTCGGGAGTTTCTCCCATTCTTCTCTGCAGATCCTCTCAAGCTCTGTCAGGTTGGATGGAGAGCATTGCTGCACAGCTATTTTCAGGACTCTCCAGAGATGTTCGATTGGGTTCAAGTCCGGGCTCTGGCTGGGCCACTCAACGACATTCAGAGACTTGTCCCGAAGCAACTCCTGCATTGTCTTGGCTGTGTGCTTAGGGTCGTCGTCCTGTTGGAAGGTGAACCTTCGCCCCAGTCTGAGGTCCTGAGCGCTCTGGAGCAGGTTTTCATCAAGGATCTCTCTGTACTTTGCTCCGTACATCTTTCCCTCGATCCTGACTAGTCTCCCAGTCCCTGCCGCTGAAAAACATCCCCACAGCATGATGCTGCCACCACCATGCTTCATCGTAGGGACGGTGCAAGGTTTCCTCCATATGTGACGCTTGGCATTCAGGCCAAAGAATTCAATATTGGTTTCATCAGACCAGAGAATCTTGTTTCTCATGGTCTGAGAGTCTTTAAGTGCCTTTTGGCAAACTCCAAGCGGGATGTCATGTGCCTTTTACTGAGGAGTGGCTTCCGTCTGGTCACTCTACCATAAAGGCCTGATTGGTGGAGTGCTGTAGAGATGGTTGTCCTTCTGGAAGGTTCTCCCATCTCCACAGAGGAACTCTAGAGCTCTGTCAGAGTGTCCATCAGGTTCTTGATCACCTCCCTGACCAAGGCCCTTCTCTCCCGATTGCTCAGTTTGGTCGGGCGGCCAGCTCTAGGACGAGTCGTGGTGGTTCCAAACTTCTTCCATTTAAGAATGATGGAGACCACTGTGTTCTTGGGGACCTTCAATGCTGCAGACATTTTTTGGTACCCTTCCCCAGACCTGTGCCTCGACACAATCCTGTCTCGGAGCTCTACGGACAATTCCTTCGACCTCATGGCTTGGTTTTTGCTCTGACATGCACTGTCAACTGTGGGACCTTATATAGACAGGTGTGTGCCTTTCCAAATCATGTCCAATCAATTGAATTTACCACAGGTGGAGTCCAGTCAAGTTGTAGATACATCTCAAGGATGATCAATGGAAACAGGATGCACCTGAGCTCAATTTTGAGTCTCATAGCAAAGGGTCTGAATACTTACGTAAATAAGTTATTTCCGTTTTTTTTTTTGTTATACATTTGCAAAAATGTCTAAACCTGTTTTCGCTTTTTCATTAAAGGGTATTGTGTGTAGATTGCTGATTTTTTTTAATTTTTTTTTTTAAATCCATTTCAGAATAAGGCTTTAACGTAACAAAATGTGGAAAAAGTCAAGGGGTCTGAATACTTTCCGAAGGCACTGTACATATATTAGAGGAAGTAGTTCAAAACACAGTCATTTAAAGTTTATTCAAAGTAATTTGAATGAACACAGAGTAAATTGCATTGTATTTCACTGTTACAGTGTGCATATTAGGACAGCCCATGGACACACCGTACAATGCGATTGTTAATCCTTACCCATCCAAAGATATCTGGAAAATTGAAACATCTCCATTGATTTTGGTGCAGTTTTTGAAATAATCAATGTTAGATGCGTTGATTGACAAGACCTTAGTAAGCAGCCCCATTCCAAGTCCATCGCAAACTAGATGAGAAGAACACAAAAACATTGAAATCATTGACGATCCAATGCAGCATTATGAGGTTTAGAAATGACACAGCTAGCAAAGTTGAAAATAAAGCACATTTATGTTGCCCAGCTTAATCTTGGCCAGGTCGCAGTTCTCAACTGGCTTACCTGGTTAAATAAAGGTAAAATAAATCAAATAAAAACAGACAGTTACATTTGCAATATTTTACCTTTCGGACAGATTCCGTCACACTTCTTGCACCTCCTGACACCATTTTCCTCCACCTCGTGTGTGTTGCCGCTGCATGTTCTGACACATGCCCCGTGGTCCGTCACCACATAGTTATCTATAAGAAACAACCAATCACAGGACAGGTCAGGGGTCACCCAAAGTCACCTTCACCACTCCAGACAATTATAGGCAAAAGTCTCTTCACCATGTAGGTACAGTGGAGGGGGCGTTTTCTAGATAATGGGGTGTATTCACTGAGGTGAAACGTTCTGAACGTTGCAGATGCGAAAGTAACAAATAGAGCACAATTCCCAATTCTATCTGGCCATTCAGTAACGTTGTACCTTTCTGAGCAGACCTCATCTTTATTAACCCATTGATAATGTAGATGGCCTTACGTGGGCAGTTCTTCACACAAGTGGCCCCGAACGTGTACTTGGCGTTAGGGTTGGAAGCCAGCTGGTGGGTGTTGGGATTGTAGAGCATGGTAGGGGGGCAGGCATCCTTACATGTGCCATCATCCTGGAAGTCTCTACAGGCCTTTGAATACAAGAATGAAAGACTACGATCACAATGAGTGTGCAATATTGCCAACAATATCTGGAGCAGCCCAGGTGTGGGTCTGCCTGTTGTCTTTTAAATGTGTTTCCTATGTGATTATAACTTTTGGAAAATGATGAATTCATCGAAGTCAGAAGAGTCTCTCACCAGACACTCGGTAGGCCTAGGGCCGGTGCAGCCTGCAGCACAGTGTTCATTACAGCAGTCGCTGGGTTTAGGACCTCTACACCTTCCAGAGCACTGCTCTGCACACGTCAGCTTGGTAACTGAGGAAAGATGGGAGTTGGAGAGAGAGGACCAGTCAACAAAACACACCCATCACTGAGCGCAAGGGTCTGTGGGTGAAAATGAGCAAGCGACAAAATACTTTCAACATGAACAAAATATTCTACCAATATCATATCATGCAAGAGAAATAGCATGTGAGGTTTTTGTGTGACTACTCTCATGCTAATTTCGGGGAGAGAAGAGTGGATCCTTACAGGTTTGACAGTTCTCTGGTCCTGGCGACCAGCACGATCCATTGTAGCATCCCGGGTCACACTTGTCACCTGTAAGGTGAGAAAAACACTGCCTAACATCTGAATGATGTCATTCATAGAATACTGTTGTAACCCATGGTTAAACCTGGCCATGCAAGTTTGGTTATAAATCACAAACCCGAAAGCTGTATCATATGGAATTATCATAATAGTTGTGCAACATACAAACAACAACCCCAAAACGATTCCACTGAACACTAAGGAGAGAAGGATTCATTACTATACTAAGTGTTAATGAAGCTAGCATACTTACAGTAACGGCCATAGCTCTCCAGTTTGAACTCCATACTAGGGTTTATGGCCTTATTTACCATGTCCCACCACTGGATGGTCTCCACATTACACAGCAAAGGATTTTGGGCAATTTTCACACCTCCCTTGAGAATCTCTGTGCAAAATAGAAGGACACATAGATATGTTGTCTGGCCTGTGTAATGGAACCAATGATATATAGACCCCAACATTCTAACTCCAAGCTAAATCAAGCGCACCTCAAATACATAAAAGTACTTTAAGTCACTGAAATGGACCTCCCAGTCACCCACTAACCTGTCAGTCCACTCAGCTTCAGCTCCCTCAGGCCCCTGGTGTAGTTGAGGGTCACAGAGGAGTGGTTCGTCTCGTAGTTGAGAATTACAGCCAGGGCATACTTGTCAAAGAAGAGGGAGTGTCCTCGGATAAGACGCAGGTTCTCCAGAGGGATGCTGGCTGCCTTGTTGAGGGCGATCAGAACGTATCCTCCAACCTCCTGAATGGACTGGAGGGAGAACATAGAAATGAATAGAAGTACTATTATGGAGGGCCTCCCGAATGCACTGGCTGCATCGCAGACCCGGGTTCGATCCCAGGCTGTGACCGGGAGTCCCATATGGCGGCGCACAATTGGCCCAGGTTAGGGGAGGGTTTGGCCGGGGGGTCTTTACTTGGCTCATCGCGCTCTAACGACTGCTTGTGGCAGGCCGGGCGCCTGCAGGCTGACTTCGGTCGTCAGTTGAACTGTGTTTCCTCCGACGCATTGGTGCAGCTGGCTTCCGGGTTAAGCGGGCAGGTGTTAAGAAGCGCGTTTTGGCGGGTCATGTTTCGGAGGACGCATGACTCGACCTTCGCCTCTCCTGAGCCCGTTGGGGAGTTGCAGCGATGAGACAAGATCGTAATTGGATCGCAGTTGGATATCACGAAATTGGGGAGATAAAGGGGGAAATCATGGAACGTGCCAGAGTTTGGTCTAGTGGTCATGCAACCTACTCTGTACTACGTTGGAGGTAATTCCAGTTAAAATTGCAATACAATCATTGTTCAGTTGGTGGTAGTAAAGTCACAAAGGAGAGAAAAGCTTTATTCTGACTATTACATTGACATTGTAGTCATTTAGCAGACTCTTATCCAGAGTTACTTACAGTCAGTGCATTCAACTAGGAGCTAGAAGCCACGGAAGGAAAAGTACTGAAATGGCTGCAACACTATTTTCTCTCAGGTCACCTTAGATTAGAGAGAGGGTGAGGAGCTATAGGACATAGGGAAGGTGGATAGGTAGGAACCACTGCAAGGTATAGGAATCGAACCCTCCATCTCCTTACCTTGAGGAAGGACAGGTCATGGTAGTCCTGGATGTAGGTGAGCTCTAGGTTCTCCAGGACCACGGTACAGTTGCTGTACATCCTCACCAGGTTGTTGTAGTGGTTGTCTTCAGTCCCCAGCAGTGTCAGGCTGTTGCTGATCCCCTGACACACTGAAACCAGAAGAGAAAAAAACATTGTTTCACTATGGAAGTTTAGTTGCTAATTGTATACATCAAACTTTGGCTTTAATGTTAGCTGTATGAGTAATTTACATAATGATTCCAACTTTTGGATGAGAGACATCATTTAGTGGAAACTGTACATTTCCAAACAAATGTTCCACTGAATATCACCATGAAACCCAACCTACTATGGGCACAGTTCAACTTAATGGTGTTGAGGTGCAGGTAATGGTGACATAATGACTGTCTGTCAGTCCTAACATAAAGTGAAATGTCATTACAGAGAGTCTCCACAACAGGTTGGACAGGTTCTGAGGAGATGAGAGGTTGACACATCATTAATTCTACACTGCTGCAAGCTATACACCAACCAAGGAGGAATGTTCATCACGCCATCATCAGGAAGGAGAGAAAGAAAGTTCTTCCACGCATGCACTTTGCTGCCCTCTGAAACTCTAACATCATTGTGTCTCAACCGGCATAGGTTGGCTCAGATTTTTCTGGGACACCTATAGTTAGTTTTCACAAGCTTAATTTAATGTACCTGTTCTTCCAATGAGGGAGAACCATAGCCTGTGAAAGGGTGTATTTTGGGGAGGTGTTGTGGATGGTGAGGAGAGTTGGGTATCATGAGTTGAGCACACACACTCACAGTTTTAGAGGCAGATGCTGTAGTCAGTGGGAGCTGAGGGAGAAGATGGAAGCAGCTGGTAAGGGAATAAACAAAGTCCCTGTGTAATTTATCTTGGGACCAGACAACAGGGCTCACAGCATGAGCATGGGGATGTAGCCAAACAAAACATTGAATAAGTCTGATATACTTGTGGTTCATATTAGTTTAGCTTAGCTTGTGGTTCATAATAGTTTAGCTTAGCTTGTGGTTCATAATAGTTTAGCTTAGCTTGTGGTTCATATTAGTTTAGCTTAGCTTGTGGTTCATATTAGTTTAGCTTGCGAGAAAGCTTTTCAGAGAGTCATGCTGTGGTTAATAAGGTATACAGGCAAGTCATTCTTCAAGAAACCGCTTTTAACTTAACAAGTTGCAAGATCCTAGGCCTTGAACAAATGTTACAAATACATTATAAGTAAAATCATAGGCCATATTTGCTTCTTGACTAAGTCAGAATATTAGTGTGCAGGTGTAGGTATGGCTCCTCAGTACCCCCCTCCTGTTCCACTAACCAACTGCCATCATAATGCATGTGCATTGTAATGTGTAATAACATTAGAGCCTTGGGTTGATTACACAGCTGTCGTATCTCATGTTCTGGCAGGATCACCTTTGTTATCATAAAATGTATTGATAGGTGCCTTTTGTTTACATCTAAAACAGAAGATAATGCTCTAAATAGAATGTTCTGGCTGGAACTTTCCAGTCCCTAACTGTACTTCTTCACATGTAACTGCAGTTCACATGCATATTAGTGGACATTGAGCTCCATGTGTGTTCCTAAGCAGGCCTCACTCAGTGATGTGACTAAGATCAACACAGCTGCACCCTCTCTCCTGGTTTTGTATCTGTTCCCCCCACACTGCTTCAGTGTTCAGGTCAATGTCATTCTGGGGCAATCTGACATCTGGAAGCACATCCTCGCCCTTAGTTCCTAAGTGTGCGTGTGTATGCTTACCTGTGTATGTGTGTGCATAACTGCATACAGTTGAAGTCGGAAGTTTACATACACCTTAGCCAAATACATTTAAACTCAGTTTTTCACAATTCCTGACATTTAATCCTAGTAAAAATTCCCTGTCTTAGGTCAGTTAGGATCACCACTTTATTTTAAGAATGTGAAATGTCAGAATAATACTAGAGAGAATGATTTATTTTCTGCTGATATTTCTTTCATCACATTCCCAGTGGGTCAGAAGTTTACATACACTCAAATAGTATTTGGTAACGTTGCCTTTAAATTGTTTAACTTCGGTCAAACGTTTCGGGTAGCCTTCCACAAGCTTCCCACAATAAGTTGGGTGAATTTTGGCCCATTCCTCCTGACAGAGCTGGTGTAACTGAGTCAGGTTTGTAGGCCTCCTTGCTCGCACACACTTTTTCAGTTCTTCCCACACATTTTCTATAGGATTGAGGTCAGGGCTTTGTGATGGCCACTCCAATACCTTGACTTTGTTGTCCTTAAGCCATTTTGCCACAACTTTGGAAGTATGCTTGGGGTCATTGTCCATTTGGAAGACCCATATGCGACCAAGCTTTAACTTCCTGACTGATGCCTTGAGATGTTGCTTCAATATATCCACATAATTTTCCTTCCTCATGATGCCATCTATTTTGTGAAGTGCACCAGTCCCTCCTGCAGCAAAGCACCCCCACAGCATGATGCTGCCACCCCCGTGCTTAACGGTTGGGATGGTGTTCTTCGGATTGCAAGCCTGCCCCTTTTTTCTCCAAACATAACGATGGTCATTATGGCCAAACAGTTCTATTTTTGTTTCATCAGACCAGAGGACATTTCTCCAAAAAGTACGATCTTTGTCCCCAAATGCAGTTGCAAACCGTAGTCTGGCTTTTTTATGGTGGTTTTGGAGCCGTGGCTTCTTCCTTGCTGAGCTGCCTTTCAGGTTATGTCGATATAGGACTCGTTTTACTGTGGATATTGACACTTTTGTACCTGTTTCCTCCAGCATCTTCACAAGGTCCTTTGCTGTTGTTCTGGAATTGATTTGCACTTTTCTCACCAAAGTACGTTCATCTATAGGAGACAGAACGCGTCTCCTTCCTGAGCGGTATGACGGCTGCATGGTCCCATGGTGTTTATACTTGCGTACTATTGTTTGTACAGATGAACGTGGTACCTTCAGGCGTTTGGAAATTGCTCCCAAGGATGAACCAGACTTGTGGAGGTCTACATTTGGCATCTTGGCTGATTTCTTTTGATTTTCCCATGATGTCAAGCAAAGAGGCACTGAGTTTGAAGGTAGGCCTTGAAATACATCCACAGGTACATCTCCAATTGACTCAAATTATGTCAATTAGCCTATCAGAAGCTTCTAAAGCCATGACATCATTTTTTGGAATTTTCCAAGCTGTTTACACGCACCGTCAACTTAGTGTATGTAAACTTCTGACCCACTGGAATTGTGATACAGTGAATTATAAGTGAAATAATCTGTCTGTAAACAATTGTTGGAAAAATGACTTGTGTCATGCACAAAGTAGATGTCCTAACCGACTTGCCAAAACTATAGTTTGTTAACAAGAAATTTGTGGAGTGGTTGAAAAACGAGTTTGAATGACTCCAACCTAAGTGTATGTAAACTTCTGACTTCAACTGTATATGTGTCCTATCTGCAGACTCTCCGTGCACTGATGTAGCCTACACTACTGTGGAGCTCCTCTGCCTCTGGATGCTTCACTCCCTGAAGGACTTGACCCTTAACCCTTTCTCCACACACTTCCTGTAATAGGATCAAGCTTGTTTCCTTAGTCTACCATCATCTGCGGTCATCCGGCCTCATATCCCTCACTCAAACCTTGTTCCCACTCTCATTCCTCCTCCCACAGACACATTCCCAAAAGAAAAGAGGGGGATGAGGGCTGGAGGGGTGGGTCGTACTCCTCCTGGAGCTCAATCACTTTTACATGCGGCTCTACTCTGGAGAGAATGATGGGGGTGGACAGAAATGTTGGTGGTGTTAGTTTATAATAGAATGAAAAGAAAGTGAATGAAATTATCTCAGATGCTCCCACGGGGGGCCAGTATGAAAAATGTATGCACTCACTAATTGTAAGTCGCTCTGGATAAGAACGTCTGCTAAATGACTAAAATGTCAATTGGATCACTAAAGAATACAACTTTTAAGCCCCATGTAGCTCAGTTGGTAGAGCATGGCGCTTGCAACGCCAGGGTTGTGGGTTCGGTTTCCACGGGGGGCCAGTATAACAAAAAAAAAACATGTACGCACTCACTAACTGTAAGTCGCTCTGGATAAGAGCGTCTGCTAAATGACTAAAATGTAAAATGCTACACAAACAATTCAACTTGATTTTTTCTTTTCTTTTTGGGGTGGTGGTGGGGGGGGGCGGGATTCATGTAACTGCCCAGTGTTTCCAGATTTCTATTCAATATATACTGTATTGTTTAAAGGGACAATCAGCAGTTGTTACATCCCTTTTTGGACTTATACATTTATTACATGTACCCATTGATTCTTTAAGAATATAACGTTTAAATGTCTCATGAGCTTAGTTCAACTGTCATACCCCATCAGAACCCAAAATAGAACTTGTTTTACTTCAATGTTTGTAAACAAAGTAAATGTAAACAAACACTGTATAGCATAAACAAAACATGGATGAAACTATAATTTTGAAATCATGGATGGTCAGTCCTTGCATCCATAGCTCTGTCTTTGAATTTGAGAGTGGTAACATTTCTCCAAGCCCATCCCCCCGCTTTATACCGAAACAGTGGTGGGGAGTACGATTTGTTATTGTTTCAATTGCTGATTGCCACTTTAATGTATTGTTTAATGTACACATTTGATCTTGTACAATATTATGCTGTACTGTATTGTTTAAAATGTATTAGTTTGGCCTTACCCAGGCCTCCTTTAAGACTCCATAATGTTTCAACTGTAGACGCTACAAAGCAAAAATGGGTGTCATATGAAGCTCGTGCTGTAATATGTAGTATTTTGATTTCAATAACTTTTTATTTATTTATGAATATTGAAAAATATAAACATGAATAAAATATGTATTTATTTATTGTTGAACATAATATACTCTACAGGCATATCAAAGTTCCAAAGTGGGATCTCTGCTAGTTTTAAAGTTATGGCCAATTTTATACAGAGAAATTGGCATAGTAGGCAATGTAACCAATCACATCCTGCAAATCACCAGCAGAGGGCGACCATTTTGAATCGATTTTCACATTCACTCTTTTGTAATGCTTACAAATTGGATCATAACTTTAAAACTATTAGAGATCCCACTCTGGAACTTTGATATGCCCCTACCAACAATGATGAGACAGCCTACAGAGAGGAGGTGAA